CATAGCGCAGCCCCCAGGGCTGGCCGTGGCGGAGGAGCCCGCGCCCCGGGCATACCAGCTCGATGAAGAGGTTGCAGATCTCCTGCAGGATGACGATGATGCGGGAGGGCGTGCTGTAGCGCCCAGAGTTGGCCCACACCAGGCAGACCGTGTACAGCACCTGGTCGATGTAGGGTGGCAGCTGAGGGGGAAACGGGCGCGTTGGATGCGGGGGAGACGCTCGGCACACGACAGCACGCGCTGGGCATGACAGTGTGGCCGTGTCGGGCTGGCACCAGGCCACTCGCACGGTGGCACAAGGCGAGGGCTAAGGGGCAGGGAGCTCACGCAGGGCGTGCCCGGGCCGAGCTGTCCCACCGCCAGCATCCGGAGCCCTGGGATGTGCTCGCTTGAGGGCTGCTGCCCCAGCAGCCGTTCAGTGCCCGGGCCTGGCCTGCCCTGACCTCTGACTGCTGCGCTGACGCAGGGAAGCCGGGGACTGGGACAGCCACATCCCGTGGCCACAGCGCGCCGGTACCTGGGCATAGTCCACTTGCTCCATTTCCTCCAGCAGCACCCGGAGCGGCTTCAGGTACAGGTCGATGTCACTGGCTTCCTTCAGCCCTGCAGCAAGGGGCCAGAGCAGCCGGGGTGAGCGCGGAGGCCGCGGTGATGGGCCCCCGGACCGAGCCCGGCCCACCCCTACCTGCGTTGACATCCTTGAAAACAGCCTTGAGCGCCGGCCAGTAGCAGCTCTTCGCCTTCTTCAGCACGTCGGTGATCATGGTCACGCGCGCAGAGAGCAGCTGGAGGCAGGACAGAGGGTGAGCGAGGGGCTCCCAGGCACAGGGGAGACGTGGCGCCGGTGCGGGGCGGGGGGCACCACCTGCTCGTGGATGCACCCCAGGTTCCTCAGCCGGGTGCGCCAGAAGTCGAACTCCACCCTGGGCAGCGGGTTGGAGCCGTCCAGCAAGGGCTGCGCCGAGTCCTTGTTCAGGACGTCCCGGATCTGGTGGGACCAGTCGATGATGGTGGTCTCGATGCTGTGCAGCAAGGAGCTGTCCAGTGCGGCGGGGAGACTGCAAGGCAATGGCCCGCACCCCGTCACCTGCCGGCCAAACCCTGGCCTGGTGATCCCGGCCACCCCACGGGGACCCTGCCCTCCCCACGCGCGGCCTCCTAACCAGCTCGGGCCGCAGCCAGGCACGCATCACCAGCGCAATCTGGCCTGCGGTCATGCAAGGGGCCCCACGGCGCGGCGCAGCACAGCACGGCACCCACCTGCATTGCGCAGCCCCCGGGCGCGGAGGGACCCCGCCCCGCGCTCACCTGCCCAGCAGCGTGCAGGAGCCGTCCAGATCCTCCAGGTGCTCAGGGAGGGGGAGCAGCGTCTTCCCTTGGATCTTGCCCCCCATGACGAACATCTCGTTCTTCAGCCGGTGGGCCTGCTTCACCACGTCCTCGGAGACCACGTGGGGCCACCCGCTCAGGTTCCCCTCCTTCAGGAACAGCGAGTAGACGACCTAGGAGTGAGCGCACGGTCGGTCTGGCACCGACGCACCCGGAGGGAGACAAGCGTGCCAGCGCCGCGCCCTGCTCCGGAGGAGCCAGTTGGCCCGTCGCAGCCCGGCGGGCACCCACCTCCTCCACCGCGGCGATCAGCTGCTCCACGGGCGAGGGCCCCAGGTCCCCCACCAGCAGCCCCGCGCGGCAGTTGTCGCGGGTGATGTTCTCCCTCTTCTTCTTCACGAAGTAGATGCCCTTGCCCTTGAGGGCGGGCGGGAAGTCGAGGCAGGGCACCAGCTGCCCGGCGGGGCTCAGGCTCAGCACCAGCGCCAGCACGTCCTGCTTGTCGAAGAACTCGGCGAGCGTGGCGCTGCCCTCCTCGCTGCCCACCAGCTTGGCCCACTTGTCGGGCTTGCAGCGCAGCGCCAGCGTCGCGCAGCTCTCCACGAACTCGTGCCGCTTGTCCG